TCTACTCTACTCAACTCTATTCTATTCTACTACTTCTATTCTATATTCTACTCTACACTCTATTCTATTCTACTCTCTTCTCTTCTACTCTACTCTACTCTATTCTACTACTCTACTCTACTATTCTACTACTCTACTCTATTCTATATTCTACTCTACACTCTATTCTATATTCTACTCTACACTCTATTCTCTTCTTCTCCTCTCCTCTCCTCTTCTCCTCTCCTCTCCTCTCCTCTCCTCTATTCTCATTCCATTCCATTCCATTCCAAATAATAGAGTTAGAAGGGTCTTGGAGGTCTTTAGTCCAACCTCTTGCTCAAGTAGGAGACCCTATACCATTTCAGACAAATGCCTATCCAGACTCTTCTTAAAAGCCTCCAGTGATGGAGCACCCACAACTTCTGGAGGCAATTTCTTTTCCATTGGTTGATTGTCCTCCCTGTTAGGAAGTTTCTCCTTAGTTCCAGGTTGGTTCTAGCATAGTTCCAGCATAATCTAGAGCAGTGGTTCCCAACAACTTTTAAGACATGTGGACTTCAACTCCCACCATTCCCCAGCCACATTCAAATTCAGAATAGAGCTGGAAGGGACTTTGGAGGTCTTCTAGTCCAGCCCCCTGCTCAAGCAGGACACCCTACACCATTTCAGATAAGTGACTGTGTAAACTCTTCTTAAAAGCCTCCAGAGATGAAGCACCCACAACGTCTGAAGGCCAGCTGTTCCACTCGTTAATTGTTCTCACTGTCAAGAAAATTTCTCCTTCATTCAGGATAGAGCTGGAAAGGATATAATGGGAGTTGAAGTCCCTGTTCTTGGCCAGGTTTTTGGAAGTGACCGTTTTCTTCCCAGGACTAAGAGATGGGGACTAGCCCAAGATCCCTCAGCTGGTGAGGTGCCTCAGACAGGACTAGAACTCAACACCTCCTGGTTTCTAATCCAGTGCCTTTAATTGCTTGCTCAGATAAATAGCTAGGTAAGTATTATGAATCTCCAGCCGCTGAATATGCAGCCATGGAGGAAGAAAAGCAGCAAAGATGCTGAACGTAAGTGAGCATTTGCTGAAGCCTCTGGGAGATCAGCCTGAGTAGGTCAAAAAGAGGAGAAAGATTTAGCTCTTCCCTGGTTGTTCTGCTCTCCCCTGGCACACGAGAAAACCCAGAATGTGCCTCTTCTCTGATGGCATTCCTCAAAGATCTGGATATCACTTCTGGAATTTGTGCTTGTGAGGAAAAAAAAAATGAAATTTTGATCTTATTTGATCTTATTGACTTATTTGGTGTTGTAGAAATGGCTAGTTATATATTAATGTGTAAACGCCAAAAGTGGAGCTTGGAATGTGTTTATCTTGTACTGTGCTAGGAAGAGTTGGAAGTCAATGTTCCCCTTTTCTTTCTTTTTCTCTTCTTCCTTGTATAGAATAGAAAAACAGAGTTGGAAGGGACCTTGGAGGTCTTCTAGTCCAACCCCCTGTTTAGGCATGAAACCCTACACCACTTCAGAGGAATGGTTATCCAACGTTTTCTTAAAAACTTCCAGTGTTGGAGCATTCACAACTTCTGGAGGCAAGTTGTTCCACTGATTAATTGTTCTCACTGTCAGGAAATTTCTCCTTAGTTCTAAGTTGCTTCTCTCCTTGATTAGTTTCCACCCATTTCTTCTTGTCTTACCCTCAAGTGCTTTGGAGAACAGCTTGACTCCCTCTTCTTTGTGGCAGCTCCTGAGATATTGCAACACTGCTATCATGTCCTTCTTCTCATTAGACATACCCATCTTGCAATCGTTCTTCCTATGTTTTAGCCTCCAGTCCCCTAATCCTCTTTGTTGCTCTTCTCTGCACTCTTTCTAGAGTCTCCACATCTTTTTTTTTTACATCATGGAGACCAAAACTGAATGCAATATTCCAAGTGTGGCCTTCCCAAGGCCTTATAAAGTGGTATTTCACACCCCCTTTTCCCGTTCCCTTTCTTTCCCCTAATTTCCCATTTTCTTTTCTTTTTTTTGGTATTTTATACAATAAAAAATATTAAATTTGGGAAAGACAAAAGATGGCTTGCTGATCCAGCATGATACCTTCTGTCTGACCCTTTTTTTTCTTCTGGAAGACGCCGCCTCCTTCTCCTGACCCCCTCCACCCAGTCAATCCAAGAGACCCTGGCCCCACCTGGCTGGGTCTCCTCTCAAGATCCCATGGCAGCTTCTTGCTCAACCATCACTCTTCAGAGCAAAAAAAAAAAACCCTCTCCTTCCTCTCCTCTCTAATTATAGCCGCAGCCAATTTGCATGTTGTGTTCAGCTCACAAATTACCAGGAGTTTTTCGGGGAGAAGGCTTTTCTTTTAATTGGTTTGGAGTTCCTGAGAAGGGAACAAAATTGGAAGCTGAGAACAGAGAGCAATAAATATTTTAAAAGTGGAAGAACAAGAGGAGGAGGAGGAGATGGTAGTGGAGGAACCAGAAGCTGTAATAGAAATGGAGACCAGGATACAAGCCCCGTTATGTTGTTCTGTAAAGGAAAACTGATGACAGACGGTCTTTTTCACCCTGAGTTTTCTCCTACGAGGAGCAAAGGGAAGGGAAGAGTTTCTAGATTGGACTAAATCAGTGTTTCTCTGCATTCTCTGCGGAGTGGCAGAGGTAATAGATCTGGCTCACTTCCTATTTGATTGTTGCCTGTACAAGAGGGTGAGAGATAGGTACCTTCCAGGGGTGAAATCCAGCAGGTTCTGACAGGTTCTGGAGAACCGGTAGTGGAAATTTTGAGTAGTTCAGAGAACCAGCAAATGCCACCTCTGGTTGGCCCCAGAGTGGGGTGGGAATGGAGATTTTGCAGTATCCTTCCCCTGGTGTGGGGTGGGAATGGAGATTTTGCAATATCTTTCCCCCAGGAGTGAGGAGGGAATGGGGATTTTGCAGTATCCTTCCCCTGGAGTGGGGAGGGAATGGGGATTTTGCAGTATCCTTCCCTTGGAGTAGGGAGGGAATGGGGATTTTGCAATATCCTTCCCCTGGAGTGGGGTGGGAATGGAGATTTTGCAGTATCCTTCCCCTGGAGTGGGGAGGGAATGGGGATTTTGCAGTATCCTTTCCTTGGAGTGGGGAGGGAATGGGGATTTTGCAATATCCTTCCCCTGGTGTAGGGTGGGAATGGAGATTTTGCAGTATCCTTCCCCTGGAGTGGGGAGGGAGTGGAGATTTTGCAGTATCCTTCCCCTGCCATGCCACCAAGCCAAACCACGCCCACCAAGCCACGCCCAGAGAACCGGTAGTAAAAAAATGTATTTCACCACTGATTCTAGGCCAACTGAAGACCTTAGCAAAGCACGTCTTACCCAAAGGATGCTCTCTCTTGCACACCATGAGAGGCACTTATGTATCTGATTATACCTATAGAAGGGCAACATGTGTGGTTGGGTGTTGGTGAGCTTCGGCTCTGGAGAATCACAAGAGGTGATCACGAAAAAAGTAACCCACAGCGATTCTGACTTTTGTGGTCCGCCAGCAATCTGCGGAGCTGGCAGCAGAGTCGGACAGCGAGGAGGCTGGGGAGGACCATGGGCCAGTCCTGGAGTCTGGGGAAGGCTCGGACGAGGGCTCTGCATCGGAGGCAGAGAAAGGGCCATCTGGGAGGTACGTGCTGCCTCCGGAGCCTCCAGAGTTGGACCTCAGTGAGGCAGAGGAACAGGGGGAGACTGTTCCCAGGTCGCGCATGTGCAGAGCTGCCAGAAGGCAAGAACAACTAAAACAAAAGGGACGACTCAGGAGTAGGGCTTGGAGATGATTGGCCCCTCCCATAAGACTTAAAAGAGGAGCAAAGGCATGTGGGCCTTTGCAGGAAGCAACATTGTTAATTCTGTGCAGTTTAAAGCCTGAAGCTCTGTTTGATTCTGGACTCCGTGTGGCTTTGCCAATTAGGTCTTTGGCAGCGTGTCAAGGGAGATAAAGGCAGGTGATTATCAGCCTTATCCCGAAGGACTCTTTACAACAATTTGGGACTCATCTGTGAATGAACAGAATTCACAGCTGTTAAAATAAAAGAGGTTTTTGGGAATACTCGTGTGTTTTACTGACTCAGGAGGCCTAGGTCAGAACACTGAAAAAGGAAAGAGATAGCTGGACCTGTTAACCCTTTGCACCCAATCTGCCAGATTTGCAATTATCTCCTATCTTCCAACTTCCAAAAAAGAACAAACACAGAATTACTGCAACCCTATTTATGTGGTACGGGTTGGAAGTAGGAAATGAAATAAGGGGCAAGAATCGTAATAGTTTCCCCACCCCATCTATTTTAAAAAGGTCTTGCTACCTGCAGTATATAACCTCATCTCATTTTTGTCTTAGGTGTGAAATACATGTATTTTTTAAAAAAAAAAAAAATTTATGGCCAAGCCTGTTTTGCGAGAGGTGAACAGAAGGTGGATAGCAAAAGTACAGATGAGTATTAGGGAATTAAATCCATGTCTATCTATAAGTAAAAATTCCACAAATTATCTTCAAGTACTTCTCCTAAACAAGAGGAACTAAAAACTTGATTGGAAACCTGATCAAGTTATGAAACTAGAAAAGGAAAAAAAAATCATCAGATTTTCTGAGAGATACAGATGGTCCTTGACTTATGACCGGCCGCTCAGCAAGCATTTGAATTTATGACAGACCCCTCCCCCCCAAACGCTACTTGCGATCCAATTTTGAAATTACAATGGCTGCACCCCTTCCTCAGTCACATGACTGAATTTTGGATTGGCAGATTTCACTGTCCTAAATTCATGTGACAGTGATGTTTGATGTTTTTTTTGCCTGTTTCCAGGTTTAACTTCTGAATTTCTGGTGAAAAAAACCCATTGGGTAAAACAGATCCGCTTAACAGCTGCTACATTTACTTAATGGCTGCTTTATTTGGCTCAATTATGGTCATTAGTCGAGGACTACCTGCATTCCTTCTCATATTCTCCGTCCCTCTGTTGATAGGGCAAGTAGAGGTCGCTTACTTCTTCCCCCTACCTGGATTGCAGATGTTCCAGCTGAACTTGGAGATTTTCACTCTGTTCCGTCTGCTCATCCAGCGACCTCTGCAATTTGCGGGCCTGGTTATGCGCCTCATCGAGCTGCAAGGGGGCAGAGAGCACAGGGTTTATGGGTTTATTTATGTACATTTATGTGTATTTACGTACACACATAGACTGGGTGAAACCAGGCTTAATAGCAGTGACTGTGAAGGGGATTTTGGAGTCTTAGTGGACAACCAGGTAAATAGGAGCCAGCAATGTGCAGCGGCAGCCAAAAAAGCCAATGCAATCCTAAATTGCATTAACCCCTCTGTTATCTATCAACCCAAAGATGGAAGTTTTGAGATTTAATCCAGCCTGAGCTGGCATTTCAGGTTGTTAAGCGAGCTGCGCTGGCTGCCCCTTTGCTTCCAGGTCCAATTCAAAATGTTGCTCATCACCTTTAAAGCTCTTACAGCAGGAGTCTGAGTCAATTAAATATGGGCCAGCAGTGTGTGGCAGCAGCCAAAAAAGCCAAGGCAATCCTAAATTGCATTAACAGAGGGATACAATCAAGATCAAGGGAGGTACTAATACCACCCTATAAAGCCTTAGTAAGACCACACCTAGAGTACTGCTTCCAGTTTTGGTCACCACACTATAAAAAAGATGTGGAGACTCTAGAAAGAGCGCAGAGAAGAGCAACCGAGATGATTCGGGGACTGGAGGCTAAAATATAGGATGAATGGTTGCAAGAATTGGGCATGGCTAGTCTAGTGAAGAGAAGGATCAGGGGAGACATAATAGCAGTCTTCCAATATTTGAGGGGCTGCCACAGAGAGGAGGAAGGGGGTCAAGCTATTTTACAACATTTCTAACCCCAGCACAAGCTTCTTAGCCTTAGTAAGACCACACCTAGAGTACTGCATCCAGTTTTGGTCTCCACACTATAAAAAAGATGTGGAGACTCTAGAAAAAGTGCAGAGAAGAGCAACCAGGATGATAAGGGGACTGGAGGCTAAAATATAGGACGAATGGTTGCAGGAACTGGGCCTGGCTAGTCTAGTGAAGAGAAGGACCAGGGGAGACAGGATATTTGCGGGGTTGCCACAGAGAGGAGGGGGTCAAGCTGTTTTCCAAAGCACCTTGAAGGCCAGAGAAGAAAGAATGGATGGAAACGGATGAAGGAGAGATTCAGCCTAGAAATTAGGATAATTTTTTTGGCAGAGAAAACAATCAACCCATGGAACAGAAGTTGCCTTCAGAAGTCATGGGAGCTTCATTACTGGAAGCTTTCAAGGGGAGACTGGACTGCCATCTGTCAGAAATGGTGTAGGGTCTCCTGTTTGGGCGGAGGGTTGGAGTAGAAGTTTTCTCCACATCTGGGCTCCCAAGAGTCATCCTAGGAAGAATAATATCCCCATTAAACTCTTCCTGTACAGGTAGTCCTCGACTTACGACCACAATAGAGCCCCATTTTTTTTTGGCTACTAAGTGAGATATTTGTGCAGTGAATTTTGCTCCGTTTTATGAACTTTCTGGCCACAGTTATTAGTAAGTCAATCACTGCAGCTGTTGAATGAGCGACCTCCTTGTTCAGTGAATCTGGATTCCCCGTTGACTTTTCTTGTCAGGGGGTCGCAAAAGGGGATCCCATGACTGTGAGACACAGCAACCGTCATAAGTATGAGTCAGCTGCCAAGCATCTGAATTTTGATCATGTGACCCCGGGACACAGCAACCGTCATAAGTATGAGACAGCTGCCAAGCGTCTGAATTTTAAACATGAGACCCTGGGAATGCTGAAACTGTGGCAAAAGTGTAAAAAACAGTCTTCACTCATTTTTTTCAGTAGCCATTGTAACTTTGAATGGTCACTAAATGAGCTGTTGTTAAGTCTGGGACTACCTGTATCTTGCCATAGGCTTATGGAACCTGAGCCCCATCAACAGAAGGCAAGGGACCAGCCCCTTCTGCAGCCTTGACTTCCTTCGTCTTCTATTCTTGCAGGTCCAATAAAAAGAAAAGTGGATTGAAATACCGAGGGCTGCATTTGGCTGATTCAGAACAAGGTCACTTTAAATAAATGGCTGCACAGATCTTAAGACAGCCAGTAATGGAAACCAGCACTTCTTGTCCAATTTTATGCCTCTTTTTATCACTCTTAGATGAAACTGTCTCAGACAAAATTGGATCCCGGGTCTGTTTTGTCTTTCTTTCTTTTCTTTTCTTTTTTTTTTTTTCTGGCTTGGGAGCAGCACTCAGGGAATTTCCCAAACATGGATGAATAGGAGAGACTGAGCTAACAATCAAGAGCTGGAAGGGACCTTGTAGGTCATCTAGTCCAACCCACGGCCAAGCAAGAGACCCTCCACCATTTCTGTCAAATGGCAGTCCAGTCTCCCCTTGAAAGCTTCCAAGGGGAAGTTCCCTCAACTTCCGAAGGCAAATTCTGTTCCATGGGTTGATTGTTCTCACTGTCAGAAAATTCCTCCTTATTTCTAGGTTGAATCTCTCCTTGTACAGTTTCCATCCATTGTTCCTTGTCTGGCCTTTGGGTGCCTTGGAAAATAGCTTGACCCCCTCCTCTCTGTGGCAGCCCCTCAAATATTGGAAGATGCTATCATGTCTCCCCTGGTCCTTCTCTTCCCTAGACTAGCCATGCCCAGTTCCTGTAACCGTTCTTCATATATTTTAGTCTCCAGTCCCCTCATCATCTTGGTTGCTCTTCTCTGCACTCTTTCCAGAGTCTCAACCTCTTTGCTGATGTTAGGAGGAACTTTTAGCTAAGAACATCTTTTACGTGCTGTGTGCATGCTCTCCCATCTCCAGCCGAACCATCTAGAGAATTAGTGCATGACAATCATTAAAACCCCCAGGAAGATTGGTCCTTTTGAAATCAATGGGCTTTATGATGATTCAATCTATCAGTCTTTGCTCCATCTCCGTCCGGTCTTCATTTCGAATGGTGATTCCAGAAGCCATAAAATATAAATAGCGTAATACGGTACTTAGACGTCAGCAAACGACATAAAAAGACAGAAGACGAATCAATTTCCACGGAATCAATAGAAGCCAATTAAAATGAGCTCAACCCCGGGCGCATTCGGTATTGGGCACGACAAGGCAATTCAGGGGCCAAAAAAGAAGACTCGGGTGAATAAAAAATGCATTTTCTCTTCCATCGTAGCTGAAGATGGAACATAATGGGTCTTCCTTGGCAATAATGACCAGAGGTTGATAAAAATTAACCCTGATGGGGGTTTGGGGGGTTTATTTCATTGGCTTCTATATCTGGCTAACAGTGTCTGGAGCAAACATTTTGCCTTCCTGATCTATATTAAGGGGAAAACAATAAACAGCAAACAAAATGAAACAAAAAAAAAAAACCCTATTAAGAGGTTAAGAATAAGACATAACATCTTTTAAGGCCAGGCTAACTACAGATAGTTCTTGACTTATGATCACAGTTGAGACTAAGATGCTAAGCAAGCAAGTTGTTAAATGAATTTTGCCCTGTTTTATGATCTTTCTTGCCGCAGTTGTTAAGTGAATCACTGCAGTTGTTAAATTAGAAACACGGTTGTTAAGTGAATCTGGCTTCCCTGCTGACTTTGCATGTCAGAAGGTCGCAAAAAGGGATCACGCGACTCCAGGACGCTGACACCGTCATGAATACATGCCAGTTGCCAAGCAACCAAATTTTGATCACGTGATCATGGGGATGATGTCGTGCAAAACAGTGCTAAGCTACTTTTTTCAGTGCTGTTTGAAAGGTCACTAAGTGAATGGTTGTAAGTGGAGAACTATCTGTAGAACACACCATGCAGGATAATAGGATTTCCAAATGGGTTTTCCAAACAGAGAGCCCAAGGCCAGCATTTCTCAAGCCGGGAAAAGATCTGGATAACAAATTCAGAAGGACACGAATCTTTGGGCAACAGAAGATGCTCAAACAGTGTAAATGAAAGACTCAATCATCCAGGCCCAAAGTATCTACTCGGTGTTCCCGAAAATAAGACATCCCCTGATAATAAGCCCAATCGGGCTTTTGAGTGCATGCGCTAAATTAAGCCTCTCCCCGAAAATATTTAAATGCAGAGCTGGAAATCAGATAAGATGGCAAGAGGAACCCCGTCTCGCTCCCTGTGCCCCAAAATAATAAGACCTCCCTGAAAATAAGGCCAAGCGCTTATTTCAGGGTTCAAAAAAATAATAAGACAGGGTCTTATTTTCGGGGAAACATGGTAAAAAGGTTAAATCATGGCAACTGGACCAAAGTTTGTTAATACAGCATGTGTCCTGGGCACAGCATGGATGCCTTACTCCAGTAGGAACTGGGTGCATAAAAGCAGAACACCATTCTTGAAATTCTAGATTGCGTAACCTGTCTTGTCAAATCCAGGTTCCTTCTGAAAAGGCCTCTATGAAGATTCTCAGTCATCCTGGTCACGGTTGTCCCAAAGATGCTTTTTCAAGAGGCAACTGGACTTTCTGGGTTTTTTCTTTGAAGATAATTTTGCTTCTCATCCAAGAAGCTTCTTCAGCCCTTCTTGGATGGGAAGTGAAACGTCTTCGGTCCAGTTGCCTCTTGAAAAAGCACCTTTAGGACTTCTGAAAAGGTGGCTAGAGAAGTCTAGTCCAAACATCTGGAAAGTGGATTTTGGTTCTGGAGAGCTGGTTTTAGGAGAAGAGAAGCTGTTATACCCAGAACTTGCACAGCTGATCTTGATCCCTTCACACCCAACAGGCTTGCTTGGCTTTGCGGGGACCCTGGCAGAATGAGAAAGGGGTTCTCCTCTCTTTGTCAACATTGCAAAGTCAGCAGAAGGCAACTCACCTCGTCCTCCGCTTGGGCCAGCTCCTTCTTGAGTTCCTCTACTCGTAACCGCAACTTCTTCACTTCTCCCTCGTGCTGCTCCACTCGCCGGATCGTGTGGCCCAGTTCGGCCATCTTCTCCTGGTGCTGCTTCTTCAGCTTGGCATGGACGTGCTTCAGGTCAGCCAACTCCTGAAGGACACAAAACCAGCTCGGACTGGCGGGGGAAGGGATGGCTTTCTTTGTCCTCCCCCCAAGATAGAAGACCTGCCTGGAATGCAACCTAACAGGAGGCAGATTCTTCCTTTATGGAGAATAAAGGAAGAGGTTGACCTCTTCTGATTGGTCAACCCCTCCCAAAATTGGGATAAAGAAAGAATTGATGAGCTTGACTCCTGGTGACCAAGGTAGACCTTGACTTACAAGGAGTTTGTTTAGTGACCATTCAAAGCTACACCGGCACTGAAAAAAAGTGAGCATTTTTCAGACTTATGACCTTCGCAGCATCCTCATTGTTAACGTGATCAAAATTCGGATGCCTGGCTCACTTGGTCCATATTTATGACAGTTACAATGTCATCTGATTGTCAACTTGCAACCCTGAAACTGTGAATCACCATTTGTGACCTTCTGACAAGCAAAGTCAATGGGGAAGCCAGATTCACTTAACAACCGTGTTGCTAACAACTTCAGTGATTCATTTAACAACCGTGGACAAGAAAGGTCATAAAATGGGGCAAAACTCAAGAAATGTCTTGCTTAGCAACCTATGTGTCAGGTTTCGAGGTCGTCTCAAATAAATTGCATTTATTTGCAATTTATTGCACGACATTCTACCTCCGACTCATCGAAGCCAACACTGACTTCCAGACCCCAAACCCTCCCTTTCCGTTCCCCACTCCCCTGCACTCATTGGCCATCTTCCAAGGCATTCTACCCCTAATCTACCGTTCCAGCTCAAAGGAATTTCCCCCCTCCCATCCCATCTCCTAGGGGATATTATCTCCAGGGAAAATAAGTAGGTGAAAAGTCAAACGTCCCTTTCCAGACGCCTCCGCTTCTCCTTCTTATGTCAGCACTAGAGTAAATGCAGCCTGAAGTGCTGACACTATGTTTTGGGCTCAATTGGGATCGTAAGTCGAGGACTACCTGTACAGGAAGAGTTGAATGGGGATATCATTCTTCCTAGGACCACTAAACCTCTGGTCTTGGTGACTGACCCAGATTGAATCCTGCATCAGAACCTATCGTCAGAACCTATCCTTCCATCCTCCATCATCCAAGTCACAACTGATGAAGCTTCTTGGATGAGAAGTGAAAAGTTTTCTCCTTCTTCTTCCCCAAAGAAAAAAAAGAGTCCAGTTGCCTTTTGAAGAAGCGCCTGTGCCATTTTACTGGATTGGGTGTGGTGGTGAACAGCCTTCACTGTACCACCAATAAGTCTCCTTTTGCAAGAACACAGGAATTGGGGAAGAAAAAAAAAACTTTTCCCCCCAATAGTAAGGTTTGACTGCCCCCTGCTGTTGAGAATTAGAAATGCATTTCTGAGTATCATTCACTTGTCTCTTCTAAATGAGGTTTTTTTTCATTTATATTCTTTCAAACCCTTAAATAAAAATTAATATATTTGGGGAGGGAAAAAGATGTGAGCACCCAAAAGTGGAAAAATGTTTGACCCACAATAGAGGAATGGTTGGTGAAGATAACGCAATTTGCAGAGATGGCCAAATTGACTTGATTGATTAGAGAAAAGACAATTGCATTTATTGCTGGATGGAAACCCAGTATCGATTTTTTTTTTTTTTGGCCTGAAATGGGAATCATTGGACTTATCACTTGTGGTCCTCATAATTAGGGAGGGAACAACCCTGGATCTTAGAAACAAATGAGCAAAGCCGAACCTGTGAATGGGAGGCCACCAGGATTTGGCTAGATTGGGAAGTCAGAAACTGGGAGAAGAAAGACAGAAGTTGCTTCTGTTTTATGGCCAAGAAAACCTTATGCCCATGTCCAGGTACTTATCAGGAGCTGATTTTGACTTCGATGGATTTTTCCTTTTTTAAAAACCTATATCTGCCCAATAACAAAAGTTCTTTGCTTGGATTACGGAATTATTTATAACTTGAAAGGTTTCATTATCATTATCATCACATCATCATCATCATCATCATCATCATCTTCATCATCTTGACAAAATTCCCATCAGTCAATGGCAAAAGGCATCTTTGCTGGGAACAGCTCACATCCTGCAATGAGACCTTGAATGCCATCAAACAACAACATCTGCATATCCCAGGATCTTGAGCAGGACTCGACAGATGAATAAAAATGCCAAATCCAGTCTAAACTTTTGGCTGACTGTGCAACCAACCATATACCAGGCACGTTGGGTGCAATCCCAAAACATCTGGAGCACCATTTGAACATGATCAACATTGACAAATTCACCATCCCTCAATTGCAAAAGGCAGCGTCATACCTCTTTAACAGATTAACAGAGTTGGAAGGGACTTTGTAGGACATCTAGTCCAACCCCCAGCCAAACCAGGAGACCCTACATCTCTCTTTCTGAGAAATGACAGTCCAGTCTGATTAACAGAGTTAGAAGGGACATTGTAGGTCATCTAGTCCAACCCCCGCCCAACCAGGAGACCCTACACCATTTCTGACAGAAAGTCTCTTCTTGAAAGCCTCCAGTGATGAAGCTCCCACAACTTCCGAAGGCAACTTCTGTTCCATGGGTTGATTGTTCTCACTCTCAGAAAATTTCTCCTTATTTCTAGGTTGAATCTCTCCTTTTTTTTAAATTTGATTTATATGCCGCCCTTCTCCGGAGACTCAGGGCGGCTTACAGTGCGTTAAGCAATAGCCTTCATACTTTTGTATATTTTTACAAAGTCAGCTTATTGCCCCCACAAACTGGGTTCTCAATTTACCTACCTTAGAAAGAATGGAAGGCTGAGTCAACCTTGAGCCTGGTGAGATTCGATCTTATTTTAATTGCAGACAGCTGGTGTTAAATTACAGTGCTCTTTCTGTTGAGCTATCCAGGCTCCTTGGTCCTTCGTCAATTTCCATCCATTATTCCTTGTCTGGCTTTCAGAGGCTTTGGAAAATAGCTTGACCTCCTTCCTCCTCTCTGTGGCAGCCCCCGAGATATTGGTAGACTGCTATCATGTCTCCCCTGGTCCTTTTCTTCACTAGACTAGCCATGCCCAGTTCCTGTAACTGTTCATCCTATGTTTTAGCCTCCAGTCCCCTCATCATATATACCCTTAAACAACCACATCTGCCTATCTCAAGCCCTTGGAAAGGACTCAGTAGGTGGATACAAATGCCAAATCCACTCTAAACATCTGGCTGACTGCACTGTAATAGTACCAAACTGTGATTACTCAATAGCCTTAGGAACGTATGCAATTTATTATTTCAAGATCCAGCAGTCCTACAGAAATACGTGGGACCCAAGCAACAGGAGTTATATTAACAGCATTTAATTTAAATTATATGTCATTAGAAAGGAAATTCATGTAGCATTTTTCCCAGCCACCCACTACTGTGAGGAGGCTGCCCCCCCATGCCAATGTACAGGTAGTCCTTGACTTATGACCAAAACTGAGCCCAAATTTTCTCTTGATGAGTGAGACGTTTGCTAAGTGAGCTTTGCCCCATTTTACGACTTTTCTTGCCACAGCTGTTAAGTGAATCATGGCAGTTGTTAAGTGAGTCACATGGTTGTTAAGTGAAACCTGGCTTCCCCATTGACTTTGCTGTTCAGAAGGTCGCAAAAGCAGATCATGTGACCCCGGGACACTGCAACTGTCATAAGTACATGCCAGTTTCCAAGCCTCTGAATTTTGATCACGTGACCACGGGGATGTCGCAAAAGTCATAAACTTGAAAAACGGCCATCGGTCACTGTTTTCAGTGCCGTTGTAACTTTGAACGGACACTAAATGAGCTGTTATAAGCCAAGGACCAGTGGTGGGTTCCTCCTGGTTCGGCCCGGTTCGTTTGTTCAGGAGCTGGGCCCTCCCGCCCGCCCCCCTGCGTTATTCTTATCTTTTATTTGGCCCCACCCCCAATCTATTGCTTCCTCCCGAGTCCCAGCTGATTGGCTAGAAGGAAAAAAACTGTTTAAACTCTTGCCATGGGGGTTCAAAGGGCCACCCTATAGCTGATCAGTGTTAAAAGGCAATGTGGTGGTAGACCGGTGCCTCCAAAAACAAATGGGTAGACCGGTGCCTCCAAAAAGAAATGAGTAGACCGGAGCCTCCAAAAACAAATGAGTAGACCGGTGCCTCCAAAAACAAATGAATAGACCGGTGCCTCCAAAAACAAATGGGTAGACTGGGGCCTCCAAAAACAAATGGGTAGACCGGTGCCTCCAAAAACAAATAAGTAGACCGGTGCCTCCAAAAAGAAATGAGTAGACCGGAGCCTCCAAAAACAAATGAGTAGACCGGTGCCTCCAAAAACAAATGGGTAGACCAGTGCCTCCAAAAAGAAATGGGTAGACCAGTGCCTCCAAAAACAAATGAGTAGACCGGTGCCTCCAAAAACAAATGAGTAGACCGGTGCCTCCAAAAACAAATGGGTAGACCGGGGCCTCCAAAAACAAATGGGTAGACCGGTGCTTCCAAAAACAAATGAGTAGACCGGTATAGCTCTGCAAGCAGTTAAAAGCCTGGTAGACCAGTACCTCTGCTAAATCCTAAAGAATTGTCACATGACCATCAAACCACGCCCATAAAATAAGCCACGCCCACAGAACCGGTAGTAAAAAATTTTAGAACTCACCCCTGACGAGGACTACTTGTTCTATCCAGAATCCAAATCAGGTTCTTGGCCCAGAAGAGTTGCAAGCATCACCCCCCACCCCAAGTCATAGTTCCAGAGAAATGGGGGCTTCCTTCCCCACCAAAAAGGGAACCCAACTTACCTTATTCTTCTCAAACAGCTCCGCTTGGATGGTCTTGAAATCCGTGTCAAGGGCACAAGTGGTTTGCCTTCGTTTCCGTGCCAGGATCTCCTCCAGATCTTCAATCTGGGCCTTCAGCTTCTTATTCTCCCGTTCTAGATTCAGCTTCTCCGTTTCAAGCCGTTCTCGCTTGCCCCATTCGGCTGCGTTCTCGGCCTGGAGACGCTCCATCTTTGGCACAGGGAGAAAGAGACGGGTGTGAGCCAGGTGGGCAATTTAGCAGCAACCCCAGGTGACTGTGGGGCTCCTTGTCATACACTGGAGTACAAAGTGACCAGCTGCCGTTTGAGTGCTATGTCCAGTCTAATGAAAAGAAGGGCTGGGGGGGACGGACGGACATGATTTCAGTTTTTGAGGGGCTGCCAGAAAGAAGATGGGGGTCAAATTATTCTCCAAAGCACCAGAAGGCAGGACAAGAAACAATGGATGGAAACTAATCAAGGAGTGAAGCAACCTGGAATTAAGGAGAAACTTCCTAACAGTGAGGACAATTAGCCAGTGAACAACTTGCCACAAAAATCATCAGTGCACAGAACCAGGTTTTTAAGAAGAGACTAGACAGTTACTTCTATGATATTGTATAGGTTCTCCTGCTTCAGCAGGGGGGCTGGACTAGAAGACCTCCAAGGTCTCTTCCAGTCTATTCATTCCCTTCTATATCTTTCGGTTCTTTATTCTATTCTATTTATTCTATTCTATTCTATTCTATTCAATTCTATTTATTTCTTTTATTCTATTTTTATTCTATTTCTATTCTATTCCATTCCATTCTATATCTTTCTGTTCTTAATTCTATTCTATTCTATTCTATTCTATTCTATTTTATTCTTTAGGCTAGTTCTAGTTAGACTAGTCTAGTCTAGTCTAGGTCTATTTTGAGTCAATTCTATTCTATTCTATTTAGTCTAGTCTTGTTATTCATACAATATCTTCTATTCATTCTATTCTATTCTATTTATTCTATTCTATTCCATTCCATTCCATATCTTTCTGTTCTCAATTCAATTCAATTCAATTCAAATTCAATTCAAAAGAAACAATTGGAAACTAATCAAGGAGTGAAGCAACCTGGAATTAAGGAGAAACTTCCTAACAGTGAGGACAATTAGCCAGTGGAACAACTTGCCACCAGAAATCATCGGTGCTCCATCACCAGGTTTTTAAGAAGAGACTAGACAGTTACTTCTCTGATATTGTATAGGTTCTCCTGCTTCAGCAGGGGGCTGGACTAGAAGACCTCCAAGGTCTCTTCCAGCTCTATTCCATTCCATTCTATATCTTTCGGTTCTTTATTCTATTCTATTCTATTCTATTCTATTCTATTCTATTCTATTCTATTCTATTCTATTCTATTCTTATTCTATTCTATTCCATTCCATTCCATTCCAATTCTATTCTATTCTATTCTATTCTATTCTATTCCATTCCATTCCATTCCATATTCTATTCTATTCTATTCTATTCTAGTCTAGTCTAGTCTAGTCTAGTCTAGTCTAGTCTAGTCTAGTCTATTTTAGTCTATTCTATTCTATTCTATTCTATTCTAGTCTAGTCTAGTCTAGTCTATTCCATTCCATTCAATATCATTCTATTCTATTCTATTCTATTCTATTCTATTCTATTCTATTCTATTCTATTCTATTCTATTCTATTCTATTCTATTCCATTCCATTCCATTCCATTCTATATCTTTCGGTTCTTTATTCTATTCTATTCTATTCTATTCCATTCCATTCCATTCCATTCCATTCCATTCCATTCCATTCCATGAGAGAAGCAACCTGGAATGAAGGAGAAACTTCTTAACAGTGAGGACAATTAACCAGTGGAACGGAAGCTGCCTTCAGAAGTTGTGGGTGTTTTATCACTGGAGTTTTTTAAGAAGAGGCTGGACAGCCACTTGTGTCAAATTCTATAGGGTCTCCTGCTTGGACAGGGGGTTGGACCAGAAGACCTCCAAGCTCCCTCCCAGCTCTATTCTGATTGACTTTGAACATCTTATTCAGGAGGAAAAGCAGATTTTCACCAGCCAACAAATACTGCGCTTAATTGGATTAAGGGCCTGAATATTGATATATAGAACGCTTATGAAGGTGGCCATGAATCCTATGGCTGCCCACAGCGGCCAGATAGATTCAACATTTGTGCTTATATTGGCCCAGTGCATTGAACTAAGATGAAGCTACGTTCTCAGCATTTGCTAAGCTCGGTTAATTTTAATTCTTTTAATTATGGCTATTTTTTTTTGTGCGAACACAACAATTTTATCCCGTACAAGGCTCACTTGTGGATGTGTTTTACAGAGGTAAGAGTAGATCAAGACCGAGAGAGGAGGGGGCAACTAACAGACTCTGGGAAGAAAGAAGAAGCCGCACTTGATTCCTTAACAAAGGTTGTCCATCTACGGCAGTGGGAGCAAACCTTTTACTCACCGAGTGCCAAACAGGTACATGCTTTGCTTATGCGCAGCTCCTCCCCCATGTGCTGCGTGCACAACCACACCATCTGCGCATGTGGGTGGCTTTCGCACGGCTCCCCCCATGCGCTACACACACAATTGCACCATCTGAGCAATGCACATGGCTTGCGAGTGCACATGCACTAACAACACAAACATGTGCGCATGCACAGGAGAGCTCCAAAGACCAGCTGGGTTTCCGGAATTGCATGCATGCGCACTGGAGGCCCAAACACCAGCCGGGGTGCGCACGCATGCACAGCTGCAGGTGAGTTGGGCGACGGCTTGTGTGCCTGGAAAGATGGCTCTGCGTGCCACCTTGGGCATGCGTGCCATAGGTTCGCCATCATGGACCTTTTGGGCACCAGGGACCGATTTTGTGGAGAGAGGTGGGGATGTGGTTTTGTGTACCATCTGCATCCCTCTTGTGGCCCGTCAGCGGCCTGTGCAGCTAGGAGCTGATTCCGACAGTGAGGAGGCTGGTGTGGTGCTGCGCCAGCAGCCTGTGCAGCTGGCACTCGAGTCGGACAATGAGGAGGCTGGAGAAGATGTGGTGCCAGAGGCAAGGATTCAGCCAGGGCCTTCAGAACCTCCAGAAGCTCCCATAAGTGAAGAGGAAGAAGAGGAGGAGCCAAAATGCAGGAGTGGCTCCTCAGGAGGAGGTCTCCTCGAGAGTAAGTCTTGGGGCTAACTGGCCACTCCCTTAGCCTATTTAAGGAGGAATGCCGACTGAAGCAATTTGCAGGGAACAACTTCGTTCAGATACCTTCGTGTCTTGTCTTGCTTATCTTATCAGCTTCCTGCAAATTGCTTCTGGACATTCTGCCAACCACAGTAAGCTTTCAATTATTATTCTTTGAATTCTTGGCGGCTGTTAATGCAGTTAATTAACAGCCATTGTTGTAAAAGACTGATTTATTTAGTAAACCAAGGTTTGAACGGACTTTGTGTGTGCTCGGTTCTTTGGGGTCCGTAGCTGGGGCAGAACAATCCCGTGGATGGAGCTTTGCTTGCTTGTGCAATCTGGTTTCTGGCATGCTGTGGATCGGTGATGTCCATGGGCTGGGGGTTGGGGACCCCTGGTCTACATGATCTGTGGGCCAATCGTCTCCACCTCTGACATTTAGGCAGCAAAATCTCTTGCTGGAATCTGGACTCAAAGACTTCGAACACGCTCCTCCTCCAAATCCCAAATCAAATCCCAAGTCAAAGGTTTAAGGTTCTAGATCAGGGGCCCCAAATATGTAGGCTGCAACCCACTACTGGGCCATAGCCTAATCAGCACTGGGCCACGCGAATAGCTGGCTATAGTGTGCATGTCCGTGCTCATGGCCCCACTCATTGTCACGGGCACTTGTGGTCCCACTCTTGTGTCACCGCAAACATCGCAGGCACTCGCACACATGCGCCTGCCCCGCCCACAAAATCATCTCCTCCCCCCCTCCCCTGCTCCAGGCCGCCAACCCAAAAAAGGTTGAGGAACTCTGTTCTAGATCAACACTTTGATCTCAGCTCCTGAGGATTCAATGGCACAAGTTCTAAAGCACCCCTGGAACTCAGCAGCTGTTAAAACTTTAATGGGACTGAAAGGACACGAATTAATCTAACCTTTCCTCTTTCCTTCTGTTAAAGAAGTTGCTTGTACTATTTTGCTATGGTTAGGAATCATTTGTTAGCAATTCATTCTGTAAGAGAATTGTATCCTTTTCGATCTGGTTTCTCGCTTCTGTCATTTGCTTCAGAGCTAGGCACTGTTGTGGTCCACCAGCAGCCTGCGGATCTGGCAGTGGAGTCGGACAGTGAGGAGGCTGGGGAGGACAATGGGCCAGTCCTGGAGGCTGGGGAAGGCCCGGACAAGGGCTCTGCGTCGGAGGCAGAGATGGGGCCAGGGCCATCTGGGAGTGATGCGTGAACTCCGGAGTCTCCAGAGTCGGACAGCAGAGAGGCAGAGGAACAGGAGGAGTTTCTAGTGCACGCATGCGAAGAGCTGCCAGAAGGCAAGAGCAGCTGAAGCAAAAAGGACAACTCAGGAGTAAGGCCAGAAGATGATTGACCCCTCCCATAAGGCTTACAAGAACAGCAACGAGCCGTTGGGTTCTTTGTAGAGAAGCAACGTTGATTCCAGTGCTTCTTGTCAGTGTCTCTTGAACTTTGTGGGGTTTTTGCCAAGAAAAGCCTTTGGCAGGTTGCCAAAGACATCAAAGGTTTGGTGATAAGGCCGAGGGACTGCTTATGAAGAATTTTGTTTTGGACTAAGCTGAGAATGAATTAATTCTCAGCTGTTTTAATAAAATAAGTTTGTTGAGGACTGAATTGTGTTTGGTAATCCCTACTTGGGTCTCGGTTACAACAGGCACATCCTTGGAGACAGTTCCCAGGAACATCCTGCTCCATAGATACGGGGGGGCTGCCTAGGCGCACAAACACGCAAGGACAAGGGATACTATGTAAGAAAGCAAAGCATGGACAGAGACGGGGGCCTGAACAAAGAACGCTTTAAAAATCACATTGGTGAGGAACCTTTGTCTCTGACTGGATGAACTTTATTTCTATCGGCCTAAAATGTATATCATACTCTGAGCCACTCTCGCAGAGTGTGGCTATTTCCTTACATCCATTTCGTCTGTATGTTTTGGACATAGTTTTGTCACCCAGACTTTTTACTTTGTCCAAATAAAAAGCTGATATTTTTTTTGCAAACCTCGTCTCGAGTCTCACTCTCTTTGGCATCTCAGTGGCTCAGGAAACTTCTGGGACCTTATAGGACAAAAGTGCATTCAGAGAGTGCCCAGGAGCAAATAGCGAATTCACTCTTCCCTTCAGCCTCACCTCTGACCGTAACTCCACCAGTTTCTTGTCCATACTTGAGCGAGCCCCCAGTTCGTCTTCTAGGTCCTCAGAGATGCGTCCCAGCTCATCCTGGTGAATCTCCTTGAGAATGTTCAGCTAGAGACAAAAATAAAAAAGAATTGGAAATTCCATTTGTGTAACAATCAGTCTTGGTGGATCAGATTGGGGCATTAGGAAGAGAGGACATTCAATGTTGGTGTCTGCAGCCACCATGGCCTCACTAGATTGTGCCCACTGACTTCCAAAATATTAACAGATCAAAAGAGTTGGAAGGGACCTTATAGGTCATCTAGTCCAACCCCCCACCCAAGCAGGAGACCCTACACCATTTCTGACAGAGGGCAGTCCTGTCTCTTCTTGAAAGATTCCAGTGATGAAGCTCCCACAACTTCTGAAGGCAACTTCTGTTCCATTGGTTGATTGCTCTCGCTGTCAGAAAATTTCTCCTTATTTCCAGATTGAATCTCTCCTTGTTCGGTTTCCATCCATTATTCCTTGTCTGGCCTTCGGGGGCTTCGGAAAATAGCTTGACCCCCTTCCTCCTCTCTGTGGCAGCCCCTCAAATATTGGAAGACTGCTATCGTGTCTCCCCTGGTCCTTCTCTTCACTAGACTAGCCATGCCCAGTTCCTGCAACCGTTCGTCATATGTTTTAGCCTCTAGTCCCCTCATCATCCTGGTTGCTCTTCTCTAGTAACACTAGGGAGGAGATGAAGAAGGATGGTGGAGAGGGAGGAGTGGCAGAGAAAGAGAAGGGGAAAGAGAAGGAAAAGGAGAAGTGAAGAGGAGGAGAAACAATCAAGATACATTAAATGGACATGTGTATATCTTTGCCTGGTTTGAGCAAGCAGAGAAGACCAGGGGTGAAATCCAGGAGGTTCTGACAGGTGCTGGAGAATCGGTAGCGGAAATTTGGAGAACTGGCAAATACCACCTCTGGCTGGCCCCAGAGTGGGGTTGGGAATGGAGATTTTGCAGTATCCTTCCCCTGCCACGCCCACCAAGCCACACCCACAGAACCGGTAGTAAAAAAATTTGGATTTCACCACTGGAGAAGACTAATGTGCAGTTGTGTTGTGTACATGTTTCCCCAGAGAAGAGGTTTCATAGATACATTATGAGGTTGACTCTGTCCACCTGCACTGATATATCGCTCTGAACATAACCAGTTTGAAAAATGGTGATTTTGTTGTACTTCATGACAAGATTCGTGAACCTCTGTCATTTATATCCCATCTCTGCCTTGATTCGTGAAGTTTGAAGACCTCGGTAACCGTCACCGACCCATCAGCGACCAGACTGTAAGATATCTGTTGAAATTTGAATCCTAATCCCCAAACGTTTCAAAGGGAGTAATTTGGGGATTTGGATTCAAATCAGAGAAAGCAGAATAGGGAAATGTTGAGGTGTAAAATCTTTGGAGGCACAGAAAGTGCATCATCTGTCTAACATCTCCAGACCGACACCCAGACTGGAGAAAAGTTTAGACAAGTGTTTCTCAACCGTGTCCACTCAAACATGTGTGAACTTCAACTCCCAAAATTCCCAAGCCAGCAAGCTTACTGGGAGATTCTGGGAGTTGAAGTCCACACATTGTCAACTGGCCAAGGTTGAGGAACACTGGTTCAGATCAAAACTGATTTGGCACCCCAACTTTGCAGCGTGGGCCAATGCAAGAACGTCTGGCTTTGCCCAATGGCATTTGGTTCAAAAGGTGTAGGGAAGCTCACCTGCTTTAGCACCTCCTGCTTATTCTTGTTCAGCTCCTCATACTTGATCTTCCACTGGCTCAGTTCACCTTCCAGCTTCTCAATGTTCTTGCTGAGGGACAGCTTGTCCCTGAAAGAGGAAAGACAACAGCAAGGCTGACAAACTGCACTGAAGACAACAGAGCTCTCTCTGCAGAAGCTCCCCATCTTTGCTCCTGTGGTGGAAGGTAGTCTGGATTCCGAGGAGGGAGGGGTTGTTTTCCAGAGGACATAGGGAAAGGAGCTTGGAAAGTTTGTAAGGCAAGAAGAGGATTAAAAGGGGTCCTCCCAAGCTATTATGAGCCACGGTGGTGCAGTGGTTAGAGTGCAGTACTGCAGGCTACTTCTGTTGACTGCCGGCTGCCAGCAACTTGGCAGTTGGAATCTCACCAGGTTCAAGGTTGACTCAGTCTTCCATCCTTCCAAGGTGGGTAAACTGAGGACCCAGATTGTTGGGGGCAATAGGCTGACTCTGTATACTGCTTAGAGAGGGCTGTAAAAGCACTGTGAAGTAGTATATAAGTCTATTGCCCATCCATCCATCCACCCACCCATCCATCCACCCACCCACCCATCCATCCATCCATCCATCCATCCATCCATCCATCCATCCATCCATGATGCGCAGTTATTAGAATGCAGTATTGCGGGCAAACTCTGCCCCCAACCTAGAGTTCAATCCTGACCAGCTCAAGGTTGACTCAGCCTTCCATCCTTCCAAGGTCAGTAAAATGAGAGCCAAGATTGTTAGGGGCAAGAGGCTGACTCTAAACCGCTTAGAGAGGGCTGTAAAGCACCATGAAGTGATATATTAAGTCTAAGTGCTATTGCTATTCTCAGAATATATTTGTAGTTGTTCAAATACAAGTAGTCTTCGGCTTACAACCACAATTGAGCCCAACATTTCTGTTGCTAAGGGAGACAGTTGTTAAGTGGGTTTTGTCCCATTTTACGTCCTTTCCTGCCACGATTCTTAAGTGAGTCACTGCAGTTGTTAACTTAGTAACACAGTTCTTTAGTGACTCTGGCTTCCCCAATGACTTTGCTTGTCAGGTCACAAAAAGGGATCACGGGACTCCAGGACTTTGCAATAGTCATAAATATGAACCAGTTGCCAAGCATCCAAATTTTGATTACGTGAACACGGGGATGCTGCAATGGTCGTAAGTGTGAAAACCGGTGAAACGTCACTTTTTTCAGTGCCGTTGTAACTTTGAACAATCACTAAATGAATGGACTATGTATATTTAAAGTTATTCAAATAGCTGTTTTAGTCTGGCAAGATTCTGTCTGTAGGTAAACAATAATAAAGGAAACTACTCAGAAGTAACTCCAGGTGTCATTCTTGATTCTTCGGCCTGACATCAATCATGCCAGACAAGCAACTATCTGCATAACTCTTACACATGCTCTGTGAACTATTAAGAAGGGGGCCTCCTTTTTCGTCTTCCCGCCTGCCAGATATTTCAGGTTCTGCAAGCCCTTTGCCCTCTGGGAAAGAGCCCCTCCCTCCTGGGAATCCAGACTTCATTCTACCACAACTCCCGAAGGAACCCTCTGGTGGAGGAAGAGGAGCTGTCAAAAAGTGGCACTCACTCCCTTTCTTTGAGGAGCACTTTCTGAGACTCGTCCAGCCGTAGCTTCAGGGCGGTGATCTTGGTGGCATCCTCCTCAATGACCGAAACGTCTTCCCAAAGCAGACGATTCCTCTCGTGACGAGTGAAAGATGAACGGATGCTAACTGAGCTCCGTTGGTCCCAGCATTCACCTTCTTCCTGCTTGTTCTTCAGGAAGTTCTCCATCAGCTCAAATTCCTGCAAGGACTGAGAATCACAAATGGCCAAAGTCAGGGAAGAAATAAAGGCCCTCAAGGCATAAGAGCCGTGGTGGCGCAGTGGTTAGAATGCAGTACTGCAGGCTATTTCTGCTGACTGCCAGCTGCCTGCAATTTGGCAGTTCGAATCTCACCAGACTCCAGGTTGGCTCAGTTTTCTATCCTTCCGATGTGGGTAAAACGAGGATCTAGATTGTTTGGAAGCAATATGCTGACTCTGTAAACCGCTTAGAGAGGGCTGGAAAGCACTGTGAAGCGGTATACAAGTCTAAGTGCTATTGCTATTGCTATTTGGCACCGGACAAAGGGAATGAACCCTACATTAATTCAACTAAATAGGAATGTTCTACAAGCCAACATCCTTTGGATGCATTAAGGTAGAACTGGGAAATTGAACCTGCCATTTATACTAAGAGCGCTACAAGATCATGCTAAAAACAATTTTTGCGGCAAAATAGTAAATTTTAGAGGGGTTGTTTTAAAACTTGTTTTTAAACATTTAAGCATCGAGCTTAAGCATCACACACTAAGCCTCTTTCATGTTCAGAAGACCCTAACCCAGTGTTTCTCAACCTGGGCAACTTTAAGATGTGTGAACTTCAACTCCCACAATTCCCCAGCCAGCAAGACTTGTGGACTGCAACTCCCAGAATTCCTCATTTGACTGGGAAATTCTGGGAGTTGAAGTCCACAAGTCTTAGTTGCTCAGTTTGGAGATTCACAGCTATATTTTATTCTTACATACTCAGAACTGTTGCCGTTCTGCCGAATTTTACTGATGTTTAACAGATTAACAAAGTTGGAAGGGTTTTTGTAGCTCATCTAGTCCAAACTCCACCCCCCAAGCAGGAGACCCTACACCCGTGATGGCGAACCTATGGTACGCGTGCCACAGGTGGCATGCGTAGCTATATCAGTGGGCATGCTAGCTCAGCTCTGGTGCGCATGCTTGCGCTGGCCAGCTGATTTTCGGGCCTTCTGGGCCCACCAAAAGTAGGGAAACAGGCTGTTTCCTACCTCCGGAGGGCCTGGGGGGCGGGGAAGGCCCGTTTTTCTTTCTCACCTGGCTCCAGATCCTCTCTATGCATCTGGGGAGGGCGAAAACAGTCTTCCCCACCCCCTCAGAGCCCTCCGGAGACCTGAAATGGCCCATTTCCCAATTCCCAGTTGGACAGGAAGTGACTTTTTTGCTGTCCCCAGCCTCCAGAGACTCCTAGAGAAGTCTTTCTTTCTTTCTGAAAGAAGTCTTCCTTTCTGGAGAAAGAAAAATGGGCCTACCGGGCCATCGCGTGCCAGGAGTGGGGGGTTGCGCGCGCATGCGCAGAGCGGAGCGCAGAGAATTATGGGTGTGGGCATGTGCACATGTGAACCTCCCCCACCCCTCCTCCTGGCACGCGATGGCAAAAAGGTTAGCCATCACTGCCCTACACCATTTCTGACAGATGGCAGTCGAGGCTCTTCTTGAAAGCTTCCAGTGATGGAGCTCCAACAATCTCCAAGGCAACTTCTGTTCCATTGGTTGATTTTTTAAATTTTTTTTTTAAATTTGATTTATATGCCACCCTTCTCCGGAGACTCAGGGCGGCTTACAGTGCGTTAAGCAATAGCCTTCATACTTTTGTATATTTTATACAAAGTCAGCTTATTGCCCCCACAAACTGGGTCCTCATTTCACCTACCTTAGAAAGGATGGAAGGCTGAGTCAACCTTGAGCCTGGCGAGATTCGAACTTACAGTAATTGCAGACAGCTGGAGTTAAATTACAATGCTATTAGTCTGCTGAGCCACCAGGCCAGGTTGATTGCTCTCACTGTCAGAAAATTCCTCCTTATTTCCAGGTTGAATCTTTCCTTGATCAGTTTCCATCCATTGTTCCTTGTCTGCCCTTCGGGTGCTTTGGAAAATAGCTTGACCCCCTTCCTCCTCTCTGGGGCAGCCCCTCAAGTATTGGAAGACTGCTATCCTGTCGCCCCTGGTCCTTCTCTTCTCTAGACTAGCCATGCCCAGTTCCTGCAACCGTACATCGTATGTTTTAGCCTCCAATCCCCTAATCATCCTGGTTGCTCTTCTCTGCACTCTTTCTAGAGTCTCCACATCTTTTTTATAGTGTGGTGACCAAAACTGGAAGCAGTACTCTAGGTGTGGTCTTACTAAGGCTTTATAGGGTGGTATTAGTACCTCCCTTGATCTTGATTGTATCCCTCTGTTAATGCAATTTAGGATTGCCTTGGCTTTTTTGGCTGCTGCCACACACTGCTGGCCCATATTTAATTGACTCAGACTCCTGCTGTAAGAGCTTTAAAGGTGATGAGCAACATTTTGAATTGGACCTGGAAGCAAAGGGGCAGCCAGCGCAGCTCGCTTAACAACCTGAAATGCCAGCTCAGCCTGGATTAAATCTCAAAACTTCCATCTTTGGGTTGATAGAGCAGATGGAGGCCAGGATTGTCATCCACATATCATGGCAGATGATGATATTTGTAGAAGAGAAAACTAGAGGGATACCCACACGAGAGATGCGGGCAGGAGTGCTCAGGAGATGCCAAGTTCATTGCCAATGTTCCATCTTATTGTATGGAGGATCAACACGATCAGGTCAGTGATCCAGAATAATCTTCCAGATTGCCATGGCATCTCTCTGCCCATTTAACTTGAACCCAGTGAGTCAAATCCCTGCAAAACCATTGCATCATTCCTTAAGCATGGGAACCGGGAGGAATTTTTCAAACTGTAACTACTTCGAGGACAATGAATTCTTCATTATCTATATTCTGTAAATGCAAACACGCTCCTCTTAGCAATCCGTTCACATCAGCCTCTGCCTTTGGGCAATTTTCTTTTGATATTCACCAGCTGCCAACAATTCTGTTTCACCCAGAAAAAAATGTTTCATAGCTGGCACGTTGCCCATCCCAGAGACAATCTCAGCCGAATGTGTCTGTTGCATTGTAATAAACCTTGTTGTTCTTTCAGGTATTTTCTTTTTAGGGAATGGAAAAAAAAACCCAGCACCAAGAAGATCCAGAAGCAGGACAAAAGACTTGGCTGGATTCTGAGGGTCACAGAAATGTAACATCTCAGATGAGAGAGAGAGAGAGAGAGGAAGAGAAGGAGAAAGGGAGAGAGAAAGAGAGAAAGAGAGAGGAGAGTGTGTAAAACCATTTCAATTTTGTGAAAATGCAAACTTTTCAGAACTCCCTAAGACGTTTTGCACAATCAAAAAGAACCTTCACTTTGGCTGCTTTTATCCCAGGAAATCAAATCAAACAGGAATAGTAGCTGAACTATTAAAGAAAGAAAGAAAACATTAGAATGTGCCGAATTGGACAGGTTAATGATGCAACTTAAAGATAAAGAGGAATCTGAGTATTACTGAGCTTGGTGTTAAGGGGACCAACTGAGAGTTGAAGTCCACAAGTCTTAAAGTTGCCAGGGTTGGACACCGGCCTGTTCTACATTTAAAAAAAAGGGGGGGATTGTTTTTCTGGGGTTGCTCCAGAGGTGGATTCCAGCAGGTTCTGACCAGTTCTGGCGAACCGGTAGCAGAAATTCTGAGTAGTTCAGAGAACCGGTAGTAAAAATTCTGACTGGCCCCGCCCCCATCTATTCTTTGCCTCCCAGGTCCCAGCTGATCGGGAGGAAATGGGGATTTTGCAGTAACCTTCCCCTGTCACACCCACCAAGCCAAGCCACGCCCACCAAACCATGCCATGCCGTGCCACGCCCACCAAACCACACCAGCAGAATCGGTAGTAAAATTTCCTACAGAAATAATGGCTTGATTCATATCCTGCACTGCAGTACTATAAACCGTTGCATTTTGGTCATGTTCTGCTGAATAAGCCAATGCTTGGCTGGATTTGAGTAATAACATCGCATGATAATCCATGCAAACCATCATTCCAAATTGAGGCATGGCATCCAGCCAAAACCAAACCAGCCACATTCTGGCAAGACATCATAGGTGAACAGTGATGACAATGGTTTGGGATGAAAGGGCGCTCGGAATCACCGGAGGGCAAGCATAAATTCTGACATATGCACCAGCCATGCACTGCATCTGTCATTTCTCTATCTCAGTTTAGAACGAACCCTGTCAGATTCACATGTTGGATTCTCAGCCCTGGGAGAACCATGAGTTGGCCTTGCTCAGGGACTGCGGCTATCAGCATGTTTTAGCTGCTTCCTAGCTATAGGCAGTCCTCGATTTATGACCACAATTGAGTCCAAATTTTCTGCTGCTAAGTGAGACAGTTGTTAAATGAGTCTTGCTCCACTTTTGACTCAGCCTTCCAGTCTAAGTGCTATTGCTATTTTCCTTCCTTCCTTCCTTCCTTCCTTCCTTCCTTCCTTCCTTCCTTCCCTTTCTTTCCTCCCTCCCTCCCTCCTTCCCTCCCTCCCTCCTTCCCTCCCTCCCTCCTTCCTTCCTTCCCTCCCTCCCTCCCTCCCTCCCTCCCTTCCTTCCCTTTCCTTCCTTCCCTCCCTCCCTCCCTCCCTCCCTCCTCCCTTCCTTCCTTCCCTCCCTCCCTCCCTCCCTCCCTCCCTCCCTCCCTTGTTGTTAGAGTGCAGTATTGCACTCTAACTCTGCCCACAGCCAGGAGTTCAAATCCCACCAGGCTCAAGGTTGACTCAGCCTTCCATCCTTCTTCTTCCGAGGTCAGTAAAATGAGGACCCAGATTGTTGGGGGTGATAGGCTGACTCTGTAAACTGCTTAGAGAGGACCATAAGGCACTGTGAAGCAATATTGCTATTGCTATTCTCAGAGTATATTTGTAGTTGTTCAAATACGGGTAGTCCTCAACTTACAACCACAATTGAGCCCAAATTTTCTGCTGCTAAGCGAGACAGTTGTTAAATGAGTCTTACTCCACTTTTACGACCTTTCTTGCGGCAGGTGTTAACTTGGTCACACGGTTGTTAAATGAATCTGGCCTCCCCCCTTGAAATGGCTTGTCAGAAAGTCGCAAAAAAGGTTGATATGTCTCTGGGACACTGCGACCGTCATAAATATAATCCAATTGGCAAAGTCTCCCTGCCAAGATGATAAAAAAAAAAAATGTTGCCTTGAAAAGTGATCAGAATAGAATAACAGAGTTGGAAGGGAACTTGGAGGTCTTCTAGTCCAACCAAGAAGGAGGCCCTATAGCACTCTGGACAAATGGCTGTCCAGTCTCTTCTTTAAAAAAAAACCTCCAATGTTGTTGAGCCCACAATTTATGCTTTGCAAAAGGCGAGCGGTATATGCAGGGGTGAAATGCTAACGGTTCCTCCGAACTGGTATTTCTGACGATCAGCTGTGCAGGAAAGCAGGAAATCCTGCTTTCTAGCGAAGCTAAATCGCGCGGCACAGCTGATCCCTCCCCCTCGCTGTTCTACTTACCTTCCCAAGCCTCCTTTTGGTGTGCACTGCACATGCCTGGCCAGTGAACTGGTAGCAAACCGGTTCAGATTTCACCACTGGGTATATGCCAGTAAATTTGTTAAATAAATAATTACCGTATTTTTCGGAGTATAAGACGCACCTACCTTTTTTGGTGAGGAAAAGAAGAAAAAGAAATCTCCCTCTGCCTCTGAGCAATTCTGCCTCCTTGCAGCAAACAGCCTGCTTTACTTTCATTTTCCTTTTCAGCATAGCTTGATTAGCACAAGGGGGGAAAAAAATCTGCTCCCAGCAATTTACCTCTTTGCAGCAAGCAGCAGAGGCCCTGGCAAAACAGCTGAGAGCAAAACAGCTGAGAGTCGGGAGGCCGATCCAATCAACTTGTGCTAATTAGGCTGTGCTGAAGCTGAAAGGAGCTGTTTTTTTCTTGCTGTTTGCTTGCAAGGAGGTAACTGCTGTGAGGCAGAGGCCAAAGAGTGGGGGCCAGTGGGTGGGCGGGGCTACATTCGGTGTATAAGACGCACCTAAATTTTCACCCCCTTTTAGGGGGGAAAAAGGTGCGTCTTATACTCCGAAAAATACGGTAGTTGAGCTATGAAAAATTTGACCCCCCGTTTATTGTGATAAACCAATGAAATGATTTTTTGGGGGTGGGTGGGTGAAGGGAAGGCAGCCTACAGCCCAGGGCTTCCCCTCCCTCTTACGGCTCAGCCAAAGCAAACCAAAATGATATCAATGAAGCCAAGAGAGTCACTGATCACATATGGGAGAGCCACCCCCACCCCCTTCCAATTGGGAGGAGGGCCCAAGCAAGGAATCAGCCCTGATTGGCTACCTAAACACATGAGGGCAAGGTCTGAACTCACCTGAATGCTTCAGAGCCTTACATGGTTATTTCCAGGCGAAAGCTGACAGTCTGGGGAGATTCCCATAAAGGCAGTCCTCCACTTACGAAAGTTCGTTTAGTGACCGTTTGAAGTTACAACGGCACTGAAAAAAACGAATTATGGCCGTTTTTCACACTTATGACCACTGCAGCAGCATCCCCACGGTCATGTGATTTATATTCGGACGCTTGACAAGCGACTCACATTTATGACGGCTGCAGTGTCGTGGTGTGATTTGATCATCTCTTTTGTGACCTTCTGACAAGCAAAGTCAACGGGGAAGCCAGATTCACTTAACAACCGTGTTGCTAATTTAACAACTGCAGTGATTCGCTTAACGAATGTGACAAGAAAAGTTGTAAAACGGGGCAAAACTCACTTTTTTTTAAAAAAAAAAATTAATTTATTTTTTAAATTTGATTTATATATGCTGCCCTTCTCCGGAGACTCAGGGCGGCTTACAATGCGTTAAGCAATAGCCTTCATACTTTTGTATATTTATACAAAGTCAGTTTATTGCCCCCACAAACTGGGTCCTCATTTCACCTACCTTAGAAAGGATGGAAGGCTGAGTCAACCTTGAGCCTGGGGAGATTCGAACTTACAGTAATTGCAGACAACTGAATGTTAATCACAATGCTCAGTCTGCTGAGCCACCAGGCTCTTAACAAATTTCTCACTTAGCAACCTAAATTTTGGGCTGAATTGTAGTCGTAAGTCGAGGACTACCAGTGTTATAGGCAGACAACCATGGAGCAGCTAGTTCGAACTCCACCCATGTGGGGTCTGGTTGTTCATGGCTGATATCAGATGAGGTCAGTCGGTAGAGATTCTCAGCCATTCAAGTCATGGTTGTCCCAAAGGTGCTTTTTCAGGAGGCAACTGGACTTTCTTGTTTTTTCTTTTGAAGACGTTTTGCTTCTCATCCAAGAAGCTTCCTCAGCTCTGACAGGATAATGGGGAATGGAAGGATTTATAGTCCTTGCAGACAGCTGGTCCTTTGCATCCTTTCAGAGGGTCGTTGAAGGACTTGGAGGTTTATCTGTATCCTCAGGGTCACCCGAGTAGTGCAAATGGTTCCTGTAGTCTGCAATTTTTTTCTTTGGAAATCCGTTCCTAATCCCACACCATTCCAAGGGTCTTCATCCCAAATTGTATAGCTAAAAGTCTGTAGAGATTCTCATGGGACAACCGTGACCTGCATGACTGAAAATCTCCAGTCTTTTAGCTATACAATTTGGGATGGACGCCCTTGGAATGGTGTGGGAGTAGGAATGGATTTCCAGAAGAAAACCTGCAGACTACAGGAACCAGAAGCACCACTCAGGTGACCCCGAGGACACAGATAAACCTCCAAGTCCTTCAATGACCCTCTAAAACAGTGTTTCTCAACCTTGGTAGCTTGAAGATGGGTGGACTTCAACTCCCAGAATCCCCCAGCCAGCAGCGCTGGCTGGGGGATTCTGGGAGTTGAAGTCCACCCGTCTTCAAGCTACCAAGGTTGAGAAACACTGCTCTAAAAGGATGCAAACGACCAGCTGTCCGCAAGGAGTATAAATCCTTCCATTCCCCACCATTTGGTCAGAGATGAAGAAACTTCTTGGATGAGAAGAGAGATGAAAAAAACAAGAAAATCCAGTTGCCTCCTGAAAAAAACGGACTTTTGGGTGGTGAGGTCAGTGTTGCAGAACCCATGCCTTAACAGAGCCCATGTTGCAGAAAAAAAAAGATTGTGGCTTCGCTTTTCCTTCCCTCACCTTATTTTTCACCTCCTTCTCAGAGCCCACGTCTCGCACCGGCTCCTGTTCCGGGGAGGCCTCGTTCTCCTTCTCGGAGACAATGCGGTTGTCCATCTCTTTCTCCTTCTCTTCTTCCTTCTCTTCTCCTTTCAGGCGGGCGACTTCCTTGCCCAGCTGCTGGTTCTCGTTGAGGGCCTCCTGCTTCTCCCGCTTCAAACCGGTCAGTTCCTTGCTCAAGGTCTCCAGCTTCTGGCGCAGCTGGCGCACCTCCTCCCGGGCCTTGTTACGCTCCGCACGGACCTTGCTCCACTTCTCCCGCCAGTTGGCGGTGCAGTCGGACCACCAACGCATGGTCTTCTCCATCTGGGCGGCTCGGGCCCGGGCTTCTTCAAGTTCTCGCAAGCGCAACTCTTCCCGGCTCTCCCAGTCGCTGTCGTGGCAGGTGGAATTCAACAGGGGGAGCTGCGGAGGGCCAGGGGAAGGAGTGCCACTCTTCGGAGTAGGAGACATGGAGTCCGACAAGCTCATTCTTTCAGGCTGCGGGCTCCCAAGGATGCTGAGTAGGCTCCTCTTGGAGAGCCGAGGAGAATCAGCCAGGTGAGAATTGGCGCCGTGGCTCATTTTGCTACAGGTGGTGGAAACATCTCCTGTCAACAGGCGGGTGATGAAGGTGTCCACACTGCCATGAGGTCCTCAGTGGTTTGCTCCAAGGAATCCCTCAGGGAACTCCTCACATGTCAGAGGCCTCGTCGCCTTCTTTCCAGAATTCCCTTGGATGGGAAAGCAGAAGTTAGAAGACAGGAGATGTTGCAACTTCAAGGAAGGAGACACTTTCTGGATGTCTCAGGATGGCCTGGTGCTCCAGGCTTCTTTCCAGCGGTCTGCCTTAACAAGTCACAGTCATCATGGCAACGGGAGAATGCAGAAGCCTACCTGAAAATAAGAGAGGAAGAAAACGTGAATGATCCCGCAAGCCACAACATTAGGAGTTTTCATCTGGACTTTCCTGGATGGGAAAGTTTTGGAGACTTTTAGAGCAGAGGTCTCCAACCTTGGTCACTTTAAGACTTGTGCTGAGCAAAGCTGGCTGAGGAATTCTGGAAGTTAATAATAATAACTTTATTGTCATTGTACGTGTCTACACAGTATACCCATACAACGAAATTCACTTAACACCCAAAGACCAGGTCCAACACACATAACAATCTCCAAACACACTCCCACCCACCACAAATTCCCCACCCCTAAACCACCCAAACATCCAGACAACAGACCAAGTAATGCTGTCCAACAGCTCACTGATGGTGGCCCTTTAGTTCATTGTTGAGTGCAATTATAGCTCTGGGATAAAAACTATTCAGAAAACGTGCAGTCCGAGTTTTAATTGTTCTGTATCTTCTGCCAGAAGGTAACAGTCCGAAAAGATTGTAAGCAGGATGGGAAGAGTCTCTGAGAGTCGAAGTCCACAACTCTTAAAGTGGCCAAGGCTGGAGACCCCTGTTTTAGAGAATATCGTTTTGAGAATTGCATTGTGCATCCAACATCTGGCAGTCAATGGAAACTGGGGATAAGTAATGTGAGGCCCACAGATGTTGTTAAACCTCAACTCTCAGCAACTTGTGGTCCAGGAATGCCAAGATGGCTACCAGTTCCTCAACCCTGATTAACACACGCTATCTAGTGGTCTGTCTTGCATTCACTCAGCTTCCCAGAACTCCTGAGGGACCAGAGAAAGATTCCCCCCAAATTGAAAGCTGATCAATTAAATGAATGCAAGCAGCATTCTGTCTGTTTTGGCAACACACCCTGGCAAATGAGATGGTAGCGGCGGCGGCAACAGCGGCCGCCGAATATGCAGTGACCTCATGCCATTTTTCCACTCGACTTGGACCTACGCCCAGAAACTGTAGGAAGAAGATTCTCAGAAGTGGAGGGTTTAAAAAGAAAATCTAAGAACAGAACAAGCGAGACAATAATTGCATCCAGCTTCATATAAACAGAGAAAAATGCAGGGGGAAAAAGGGATTGCAAGCCATAGAGCAGAGCTGAGAGTCCACCCAAAAAGTTAACGTTTGGGGGGGGGTCACAATTTTCTACACCTGTCCATATCTGCAGAAGGCAGACATCCCCCACTCCTGGTACATGCCCCCCAAACAGATGTTTTCCAATTGGTTGGAACAGGGGTGAAATCCATCAACCTCTGGCTGGCCCCAGAGTGGGGTGGGAATGGAGATTTTGCAATATCCTTCCCCCAGGAGTGGGGTGGGAATGGGGATTTTGCAGTATCCTTCCCACGCCCACCAATAGCAGAACGGGTATGCATATGTGGAAAGGGAGAAGTCGAAGATATCTCACATGTTTTATTGTACTGTGAGTTATATAGAGTATGTAGGTCAATATACATTCTCCCCTTACTAGGGAGATTGCCATGGAGGACAGATGACTTTTATGTAGGCTTTCTCCTCCAAGACTCAAATCAGGCTACCACGCGTGCAGTGGCAAAATTCTGTGTCGCTGCAATGTCCATAAGAAAAAAATTGGTTACCGAATTATAATGTCAACTGGTGCCAATTGTTTTGAGATATCCATAACAATACATTTACTCACATACTTATCGGCTCTACACGCATGTAAATTAGGTTTGAGATCATGTATTTTCATAACAGAGATGTTATTATTCACTATTAATGTCAGTATTATTTTTAATTTATTGTATGTCTACTGCTGGTCAATGACCGTAATAAAGTTTATTCTATTCTATTCTAAGCCACGCCCACCACGCCACACTATGCCCACCAAGCCACGCCCAAAGAACCGGTAGTAAAAAAAAAATGAATTTCGTCCCTGGTTGGAAGAGATCCAGCAAAAGCCTCCTCCACCCTCAGAATGGGGACATTTGGGGGAGGGGGGGAGCCTATTCTATATTGGAAGAGCACGCCTACAATCTTCATAGAACATAGAAGGCTGGAAAGGACTGTGGAGATCTTCTAGTCCAACCCTCAGCCCAAGGCAGGAGATCTTACACTAGCCCGGTCAAATTGTTGTCCCGTTTATTTTTGAAAACCTCCAATGGTTTTCAACTCCGAAAGGCAAGCTGTCCCACTGATCAATTGTTCTCACAATCAGGAAATTCCTCATTCCCAGGGAGGATGGATCCCTCTCTGATGAATGCTTCAAATCAATGGAGAAAACTAAAGAAGGTGGACATTTTTCGGTATCTGGGATCCCATCTCCAAGGCAATGGCGACATCATTGGCGAGGGTGAATGCAGCCTGGATACGTTGGCGAGAACTCACCAGTATGTTATGTGTCAGACGAATGCCAACCCGTCTTAAATCTAAGATTTACAAGACAACCATCTGCCCTATTGCACTGTATGTCACTGAATAAGAGCCTTGGTGGCACAGGAGACTAAAGTGCTGTTAAGTAACACCAGCTGCCTGCAATTACTGCAAGTTCAAATCTCACCAGGCTCAATGTTGACTCAGCCTTCCATCCTTTCGAGGTAGGTAAAATGAGGACCCGGATTGTGGGGGCAATAAGCTGACTTTGTATAAAAAAGAACACCGCTTAGGGCCCCCCGAAAGCCCTACAAAGCAGGTATATATAAAAGGATGAAGACTATTGCTTAACGCATTGTAAGCCACCCTGAGTCTCCGGAGAAGGGCGGCATATAAATCAAACCAATAAAATAAATAAATAAATAAATAAATAAATAAATAAATAAATAAATAATTAATTAATTAATTAATGCTGGGCAGCAACAACAGGGACCGAAAGCTCTCTCCATGCCATTAAAATGCTAATGCTCCATTGGATATCGGGCACCTCCCTTCTTGACCACATCACAAATGACACCAATTGACAACATTTTGGTGTGACACCAATTATAGAGAAGATGAGAGAAGGCTGGCTCTGCTAGTATGGATATGTCCAGAGAGCAGCACCTTCCACCGTGGCCAAGACTGCCTACCAACTAGAAGTCAATGGCTGGCGACCTTGCAGGTGTCCAAAACAGAGATGGCAAGACGCCATCAACGTAGACATGCAAGCTGTGAGCCTGTGCCCTGGAGACGCAACTGACTGCACAAAGTGGTGTTCAATGATTCAAAAAGCGGACCTGTACCTGTGGGAAGGAGGAGGAGGAGGAAGAGGAGGAGGAGGAGGAGGAGGAGGAGAAGGAGGAGGAGAAGGAAAAGGAGGATGAGGAGAAGGAGAAGGAGAAGGAGAAGGAGAAGAAGGAGGAGGAGGAGGAGAAGGAGGAGGAGGAGGAGGAGGAAGAGGAGGAGGAGAAGATGGGAAGGAGAAGGAGGAGGAGAAGATGGGGGAAAAAGGAGGAGGAGGCAGGGGAAAGGAGGAAGAGGAGGAGGAGAAGGAGAAGGAGGAGGAGGCGGGGGAAAGGCGGAAGAGGAGGAGAAGGAGGAGGAGGAGGGGAAGGAGAAGGAGGAGGAGGAGGAGAAGGAGAAGAAGGAGAAGGAGAAGGAGAAGGAGGAGAAAAAGAAGAAGAAGATGATGATGAAGAAGAAGATGATGATGATGATGATGATCTCACTCTAATGAACTTCCACCCATTGCTTCTTGTCCTGCCCTCAAATGCTTTGGAGAAAAAGTCAACCCCCTCTTCTCTGTGACAGCCCCTCAAGTCCTGGAAGACAATTATTATGTCCCCCTAATCCTTCAGTAGCTATTGATTGAATTTCTGTAACAGCTACTGTCTGTTCACATTTTTTTAAATAAACTCCAAATCCTATCAATTCTGGGAGCTTTGCTACCATAAAAAAGCTAGAGATTTGTGTCCATAAAAACAAACAAACAAACAAACACCCTTCCAAAATCTTACAGGGTTTGTCCACATTCTATACCAGGCCTGGGAAGATAACCAGGTTTCCAAGGCCTTCTGGAAGATTATCAGGGCGAGGGCCATATAGATCTTGGAGGGACAGTGGGGGTAGAGAAGATTCCAGGTTGCCACCAGATATTGTTTAATACAGGGGTCTCCAACCTTGGCAACTTGAAGACTTGTGGACTTCAACTCCCATAATTCCTCAGCCATAATCCCTCAACTCTGGGAGTTGAAGTCCACAAGTCTTAAAGTTGCCAAGGTTGGAGACCCCTGGTTTAATACACTGTTCTTCAACCTTTAAGGTGGGTGGACTTCAATTCCAGGATTCCCCAGCCAGCCTTGCTGGGGAAGGCTGGGAATGGAAATCCATGTATCTTAGCTGGAAGAGCAGAACTGATCAGAGATAAGAATATATAGCCTGCCTCTACACCATTAAGAGTGATAGGTGATAATTAGCACCGTTTGAAACTAACCGGCAACCAGTAAAGCTCACGGAGCAGTGATGCCAGAAGAGCCTGCAGTGGCCTGCCCATTATTGCCTAGTCTGCCATATTCTGGGCCAGCTGTAGCTTCTGAGTAGTCTTCAAAGGAAGCCCCATGTAGAATATGTAGCAGTAGTCAAGCTGTGAGATGTCTAGGGCATGAGTCCGAAAGTCCTCCTGATGCAAGAATGGTCATAAAGAATGCCCAAGGTGGTTCTCTGCTAAAGTGTTCCTAATCACAGCTGCTTTTCAAGCAGGAGCTGTGAGTCCAAGGAGGATCCCCCCCACTGGGGGGTGGGTCTCGATGAACCCCAAAGCTCCTACAAAGCAAGGGGGAAACCCAAAATTGGACAAAACGGAGAGAAAAGCATTCCCCCCGAGCTCTTTGAGTTGACACCTTCCAGAGGGCTTAGACTTCAAGCCCCATCATCCTCAGCCAGGACGATGCAATTGACGAAGAACCTAAGAGAGGAACGAGGCCTGGGATTTTTGAGTGGAGGCAACTCAAAAGGTAGATGATGCCCAGCATGATGGTCTCATTAACAGAATTTAACCACCGTTGGAAAAAGAGAGGGGGCTGAGAAAAGGATGAAGATGGGCACAGGCCA